TTTTATGTATTATACATCTAAACAACAGGAATAAGCTTTGTCTGTCTTAAAACTAGGTATTATTCTATTCAAGTACTTTTAAGACTTGAAAATATGGACAGGAAGAGGAATAGATTGTAAAAGCAGAGGGGACAAGAATCATGATGAGAGAGAGGGTGGTCACGATGGACTGGGAGGAACCTAATTTTGCGGATGAAAGGCAAGTGGGAAAAAGAGAGAAAGAAAACATCAATAGATAGAGTCAGGGAATCAGCGGAGAAGTGTGGAGTAACAGAATATTGGCAACGTAATGAGAAAATGGAATGGAGGAGACTGCAGCAGTCATGGGAGGCACGAAATCACTGTGTTTGGAGTGAAGTGGTTTCAGAAAAGTGAAAATGGAAAGAAAATGGTGATGCTGCCCTTAGCCCTGCTCTGCAAATGCTATGCAGAGCATAAAAGAGTTTCTCATACATGTTGCTTGTAATTTGAAGACATTACCTAATAAAGGACTTTATTTTAGTGAAAAATAGGCTCACTGAATGTAGTAAATAAGATTTAATAGCCCCCTGTGTATTTTAGTGTAAACACACCTGGCAACTTCCTAATTCAAAGCCCCAATCAGCTTCCTCAGGTAACTTACTGTATTGTATTCACAGGTTTAGATTTATCATGCACTATATATCTCTGGTTGTCTCTATGATTAAATGAGGAGGCTGTTCTAGATTGAAAGACCCATTTCTTCAGACTGCCTAATTTATTAGAGTAATATTTCTTAACTTTTTCAACAAATCAAGTTATTTTCCTTTTTGTTGAAATGGTTGGTGGCTGACATCAAGGGAATTTATAGGCATGCATGACAGGGAAAGTGTAATCAATACTGTTATAGATGTATGAAAGTAATTTGCATCCCTCACCAATATTTGTGCAATGTTTCAATCTTTTTGCATGTGCCATATTTGCCTAATGAAACACAGGGATAATGCTGGGTTTATTATCATGATGGCTTATATTTGTTCCCTAAAAGTTACTGATATATGTTAATTCAAAATATAGATGCTTGTAAAATTTGAAGTTTGAAGGTTTGCATCTATCTCTTTTCCAGGCATAGATAGTTACTTGCTAGTAACCAGTGATTCTTATATATGTTACATAGTTATTTAATATAAGGGTCAATATACAAATAATCATACAATCTGAGACACTTTTAAGGGTGAAAGGGACTGTTAATTATATCAGGACATCAGGCTAAACATGGAGATATGGTCCCTCTAGTTCAAGGCTAGAACTAGGCTAGACTGGAACTAGGTCTCTCTAGTTCTAGTTCTCTGAATTCAAATCAATTCAGAGAAGAATGTTGATACATAGATAATAGGGTGTTCTCCTATGAATTTCTTTTCATTTATTTTTGTTCAAGACATGCTTCTGGAACAAATGGCACAAAGTAGATCCATAAACAATTCTTATGTGGAAGAAAAAAATAATAATCTCTGTAAAATGGTAATATGGCATGGTGTTAAGTGAATACTCATGAGTAATAGAAATAAAATAAAAATAATTTAAAAATATCTTTTAAAATGAGCTATGGTTACCAGTAATACCAAACTCCTCACTTTACTTGAAAATATTTTGGTATGTTCGAAAACAAAACTAAACATTCCACAAAAAATTCCAAGACCATATTGCATTGTAGGTGACTGAGTGAAAATAATAACTTTATATATTGATTTGAGAGTCAAATCCCTATTTAAAAATTTGCAGTAAAATGAGTGTATTCATCTATCAAGCCATGCGTGTAATACAAGGTACCTCTTCTTACAGTGGGTCACCTAGGAAAATGCAATGTGATAGAGCCAGTGTTATAAAAGAAATAGGATATACAGACGTTCTTCTTTGTTCAAAATTGTAAATGACTCCTAGTATATCTTGAAGCAGATTTTGCTTGTACAACTTAGATTAAAACTTAAATATCCTGTAGCATTTTTAAGTTTTCATTAGTCTAAAATAAACATTTTATTCTTGGTTAGTATATTTCTTTCTCTTCTCAAGTTTAGAGAGAATTTGAAACACCTTAATATTATCCTCATATGTAAGAAAATTAAAATAAATGTGTTGCATTTTATTAATTTTATTTATAATATAATACAAACCTGGGAAAACATTTTTTTGTATTCACTTTTTCACATCATTTATTTATTCCTACATATTATGTATCATTCCATTGTTTGAAATGCTAAGAGGTTTTTCATTTTCATAACTGTAACTATCTTACAACTTGCATTTGAATCCATGATCATTATGTACTGGATCCCAACATATTTTCCACAATACCTTTCATAGCAAGTTTTTTTGTGTGTTTTTTCCCCTCAGATATCAAT